GACAAGGGGGACAACAGTATGGGGTTCTTGCTGATGCCACAGAGGTCGATAAACCAGTGGTCGTCTGGACCAACATGGACGAACTCAACGAGCTCTCTGTAAATGCCACTGCGATGTTCAAAGGAAAAGAACTTCCGTATCCTCCGGCTTACATCAAAACCGCAGAGACTGGAATTGGCAGAGCCTATGTGAAATGGAGTGAGTGGATTAGGTACTGCAAATCAACGGTCATAATTGGGCGGTATATAAATGATAGCGGTGATATATGACCACCCAACCTGTAGGGGAAAATACACTTAAGGGCAAAATTGTATACATTTAGAAATTGGATTTGACCAAAAACATACATACTTAATCAAAACGTTAAGGATTGAAAGCAGTCACCAACACATTGCAAAGGTAAGGTCCAAAACACAACTATGATCCCCGTATCAAATACATCACCAGCGAATAACAATTTCTTGTTTATTTCAATTTAAGCCGCAATAAAACATTCATGCATAATTTCATTTGTTCGCCAGTTTAGTAGAATTTGCCTTTCATTAGAATGTGTACAATATCATTCACGTCATATCTCGGAAAGGTACAATGTTAAATGCATACATCCCGACCCCCATTCCCATCCCCACCAAACAAATAGAGAAAATGTTAATAACTGTATCATTTTTAACTCCACATTTGTATTAAATAACGCTTAGTTATATTGGTCACATGATATTGGTTATCTCTTTTGTTTCGTTCAAAGAAAGCATTGTGTCTCTGGTAGGAGTGTAGTGAGTGAGTGAGTGAATACAGCCGAAGCTCGTTATATCGAACCTTGTCTTCTCGAAAAGACCGACAGCTCGAACCTTTTCTCCGGTCCCGTCCGACTTGAATATAAATACATATACATTTACCAGTTTATGTCGAATTCGAGATGAAAATATACATAACGTTAACTCGAGTTTTGCATTTGGTCCCGTCTTTGACTTTACAATATGATTTTGCACTTTTATCTTGGAGTTGGCATTTGCCACATTAACAGTTTTTTCTAGTACATTTCCTCCCAAATACAACATCACAGTAAAGGTACAGTGCAATTTGAACCAATTATTCAACCAAATATGTACTTATTCTTTACTCCAATTGTAATGGTAATCTTTATTGACAAATAAAACATCGTGACTGGAGGCACTAGCAGAACACAATAATAGCATAGATATGTACAAATAAACCATGCCAGGTTTATGGTGACCATCCCCATAAGAATACCAAAGCGGCGTTCCGTAATTGTAGCAATTGCAACCTTCTTATGTGTCTTTCAGGTGGTCCCCGTGTGACGTCTGAAGAGAGAGATTACAAATGTGAGGGGACTATTGACTCTGAGCACCCTCAAAAGATGGTTAGATGCGTCGTCAAGAGAGAGTACAGGAACCGTTTGAAAGATGGCGACAAGTAAGACCATGTTCAAAGATAACATACATTCATTGCGTTTTCTTTAGTGTCATCTATAGATGGGCCGTTCACAAAATGACAGTGTAGAGAAACCTCATTTCTTAGAGTGAGTGAGTGGCTGAAGGAGTGAATGAAGGACTAAGTGAGTGAGTGATATTACGGTGTGTCAGCACTGCATGGTAGGAAATCCCGAGGTAATATTCAGGATGTAAATGTTTACTAACATTTGGTCATCTTAGTGAACTCCGCACTCAGTAATATGCCAGCTATATCAAAGCAGCCATACAATTCAGTGATTGATATTATGAACAACGATCAAACGATCCCGACGTAATGCAGGACGTAAATGTTTACTAGCATTTGGTCATCCCGAGGCTCTACTAGCTATGCTTGTCGTAGGAGCCGACTAATGAGGATTGGGTTTCTACATTGTTAAGTGGTGTCACCGTACGTTTAAAGAGTGGAATGTTGTTCACGGATCCGTGAAGGTCCGGTTAGAGAATATATCATCTGCTACCCATGCATGCCGTAAAAGGCGATCGTTGTCATCGTTTCCCAATTGCGTAGATGGATGCTCATGATGTCAATCACTGGATTGACAGAATATTTACAGATCGCCGTCATAAAGTTCGAATATTGCTGAGTGTGGGCTTGGAGAACAAAGGAAACGTCGTTCATGCTGTCAATCATCGGTCTGCCTACTTCGAATAATGAAGTTACAGCAGTTAAAAACACAGTGAATTCACTTTGTAGTTGGTCCAGAAGTATGTATTTGTTTAGGTTTAAGTTGACCTTCCGTGTGACGAGCGGCGGGTACAGGGAGCTGTTTGACACAGGAAACAACCGGGTGACTGCCACGGAACACTACACCGGAACTGAAACGACCCGATCTGTTGCCTTTAACATTGATCTGACGAAACCTGCATTCACAGAAGCCGATGCGTCATTCCAAGTCCACCCTGAATTTACGAAGGTTAGATGCAAACGTCTTCTAATTTCTCATCGCCAATTGACCTCAAAATCGGCCCTTGTCTGTAAAGCTTTTTTCGGGACTTATTTAGATTCCGGTTCCGCGTTTTAGAGTTATTTTCCATTCCGAAGTTGCATTTTTTTATGTTACCCGTCTAGACTTTCAGCTGCAAGAATGCCTTTCCTTTCTACGCCTATCCGAATAGGCTGCTAGGATTATAAGTCTGAGAGGGCAGTTTTGGTACCTACGATTTATCAACGATGCGCACATAAACTGCGCTATAAATCTACAAGTAACCTAGTTAACTTTACAATGAAAACACAGTGCGTATTTCTCCTTCCTCACATTAATGACAACGTAAATGTTCTACTTTAACTATTTAGTGTGTGAGTGAGTTGGGTTAAAAGACGTGATGAACAGCGATTCGGATATCTCAGAGAGTGTAAGCCCATTGATGTGGATGGAAACCTAACATGGTGAAGGTCTTAACTTTTTTTGGTAAAATTCAGGAGCACAGGTATGGTGGTGAAAACCAAGGATAATGGAAGTAAAGTAAAGAAGATATCCATTTCGCTCAAAGGGAATAACAGTAAATAATATCATACATACAGTGAGTTAGTTGGGTTTAATGCCGTTTTATCACGGCGTGTCAGCTTAATGTGGGAGGAAAGCCCGAAGTGATGCAGGCCTAAGACTTTTACCACTTCGGTGAAACCCACGAGCACGGGTATGGTGCTGACAAACCTAGAAACATAATTGGGGCGAACCGTGATTCGAACCCTCAATCATAGGTTTCTGACGAGCCCAAGGGACACAACTCTGCACAGCGAATCGCGGCGCCTTGGACGACTGGGCCACCCGTGCCCCCCATACATATAGATGGTCAGGCATGGATATTAGTAAGCCTGAATTCTAAGTTTTCCAGAACAGAAATTAGCGAACACTTCACATAAATGAAGGTCAACGTATGTATTTTTTACATTATACAGCAAGGTATTACAATGAAATGGGAAGGATGGACGGATGATGATTCTCAAATGGACAAGTACACATGGGAAGCCTTTAAACTTGAACCTAATGGCGATGGAGACTTGATGGAGGTAGACAAACTGAGACCCATCATCCACAGACAAATCAAACACACCTCCCCCATTTCCTACCCTCTTCCTTATGAACCCGATAAACCAGGTATGTATTCCTTCATTCTTCAAGCTGTGGACAAGGCCAACAACTCTGAATACATGAGACGGTTTGCGCTGTACGACAAAGAGTCAACGGTGACCACTGATCCGAACCATGCTATGAACATATCATATGTTGTACGAGACCAGGGCTTCCAATGGATGACCGATACATCAAAGCCACTCGTGGTCAACTGGGAAAACCGGTTTTTGAACTATCACCACGAAAGCGGCAAATTTCTAAACAAAATCTTGCCCTTCAAAGTTCAAATTGTTGAAGACCCACCAATCTACAAGCAGGTCAGCAGCACCAACGATGATCATTATGGTGAAAGAACCGTAGACGCTATCCTCAATGTGCGGGGGATTGTGAAGTTCGAGTGGACACATGATGTCAATAAAACTGGAGGTCGACGCCAAGATACACCTCCAAATTGGTCTGATGTATCCGGTTTAAAAAGTACCATGCAGTTTCAACCAGGTACGTTTCTCTTTTATGTTCCTAATTAATGCTGGTGACTGTGGCCCAAGCCAACGTAATTGGCTGTTTAAACAACTTATAATTATTTCTTCAAACAAAACACCCGACCCTTCAAAGCGCAGTTAAACCCTACTCACTCCAATACTAAAAACATCCCAAGCAATCACTGATCAATTTACAAGATCAAGCTATTCATATTTATAAACTTTCATTTTACTTCATTGATTCATTTAGTGGTTGGACTTTTGTTACATTGGTTTTTTTTGGTTAACTCCACACTCAGTAAAATGCCAGCTATTTCACAGCAGACATACAATTCAGTGATTGATATAATGAACAACGATCAAACAAGTCACCGAGCCTGACCACCATATTCCTTATTTCGCCTCTTTCGGCCAGCATTGGTTACTGGGGGCCAATTCTATGCCAGAATATCCAAGTGACCGTCCCGTTCATGGAAATGCAAGTAGAACACTTTGTAATAAATGTGATTTAATCATTCGTATGTGAATCTATACACATTTCTTTTGTACTCCAGAGGGAGTTACAAGTGGGAGCACTGTTACTGTGTGGATAAGAGCCAGGGACATCCTCGACAACAAGAAAGTGGACTCGACAAGTGTGACCTATGATTTTACGGAGCCACAGATCACTAGGATGGCTTTCCACGAAAACGAGATATCCAACATTCCCTTCAGCTCTGGGTGAGAGAAAATGACGAATTGTACAACTGAGTATGCGGTCTTTTTTATATTTGAAGATGTAGTGTCACCCGCAGTCACTGTAGTTCTTGGTAGTGTTTTAACCCAATGAAACATGATTAAATATTTTATTGACGCTGAAATCTATTTTGAGTTACAAGAAATGCTTATTCGGGGGAAATTGTAATACAGCAACAGTTCCATAACGTCTTACGTATGAATTTTCAGCTTGGAGTTGAACATGCTGGACAAAGAGAGTGGCATTGGACGTGTAGAGGTCAAAGTCATACAGACAGGGAACGGGCACTTGATGTCCAGCAGGAACCTTACGGTACCGACTCTAACAGTGAGTATGAAAGAGTTGAAAGATATTCCAGACTATTTTCACAAGGGGCATAAACAAATGCCTTAGTTAAATAAGTTAAAAGAAAAAAGAAAACTACTCTGCGTGTGTGTGTGTGTGTGTGCGTGTGTGTGCGCGTGTGCGTGTGGGGGGTGCGTGTGGGGGGGGGGGGGAGGGGGGGGTGCGGGTGTGCGGGTGTGCGTGTGTGCGTGTGTGTGTGTGTGTGTGGAGGGGGGGGGGGGGGTCTATGGTTTCGTCCGAAGATGAATATCGGGACGTTATTAGGATCTGTAGGGGAGATGACAGTCATCTTAAGGTACCCAGGCAAGTAGGGCTGTGGGGTAGCCTTGTGGTTAAAGCGTTGTCTCGCCATGCCGAAGACCCGAGTTCGATTCCCTCATAGAGACATACCTCATAGAGACATATTTCTGAAATTGAAACGTTGTTCTATAAAGATCAACCATGTTTGGAAACTCAACACTCTATGTTTCAGCCGTCTGCCTGCACAGACAGAGTGACTGACTGTTACTGCCCTAACGCCCTGAACGTGTGTTACAAGCGAGTATACAAACTTTACATCAGCAACTGTTGGCTGATGGTGGCCAAAGACGCATTGAAATCAGCCGAGGTTAAACTGGAGGTGGGTGTGGTCAACAGAGCTGGACTGAAGACACCCACACCGTTGGTCCACGTGGTGAGCAACACCTTATAATTAGATCATTACATAATTTGTCAGCACACTTTCCAGCTAGGTCACTGTGGCCTGTAAATATTTGTGATAAACCAGTGGTTGATATTATGAGCAATGTTGCACGCCGTTGAGGCTTGATGACACGCTATCAACCAAGTCAGAGAGTCGACCCGATCGAATAGGTCGCCTCTGACCACCATCACTACAATATCGTTTTATACAAAAGTACAGATTATATACAACAAACATATGTGGTCAGCCATTTGCCGAGAGTCAGCGTTCTGCTGACTGTATCGTTTTTTTAAAGAGAAGTTAATTAGTCTGCTATTACATGCTCTCTCCGTAATCAGTTCTATTTGACTCAGTTTGGGGCCAACAACATCAGTTTGTTAATTTGTCAGGAGACAGACTTATATATTTTTTAATTCCTGTTTTTAATGTTTCTAAAAATGTGAACACAGTCACAAAACCATAATTCTTTAATTTCTTTTAGATATTTGCTCCACTCTGTATCATTGATTATGGGGCACGAGTGCCACAGTCATATAAGGCGCCGCAATTGCTGCGTTGAGAAGCGTCCATGAGGGGTGCCAGAAACTTCTGTGACCCTGGTTCGAATCATAGATTCGCCCTGATAGTGATACGTGGTTTTGTGGGCATGAAACCCGTGAAGTTTACACCACGTAGAGCTTTCCTTCTTCGCGAAGCTGCGTTCAACCAAACTCTCTCCTCTCGATGGCCAGAAACACATTGAGTGAGTGAATCGAACCCCGGCCTGAGGCGTGACGGCTAAACCACGTGTCTACCCCCCCCCCCCCCCCCCCGTGGCTTTGTGATACGTGTAATTACGATCTTGTACTGCTGACGTGTGCAGATAGGAAAGGATCCTTAAAAGATGTGATGAAACTTTTTCCTCTGTTTATTGTAAGTGTGATTGAGTTATGTTTAACGCCGCTTTTAACAGTATTCCAGTTATATCACGGCGTGTCAGCTTAATGTGGGAGGAAAGCCCGAAGTGATGCAGGTCTAAGACGTTTACCACTTTGGTGAAACCCACGAGCACGGGTATGGTGCCGACAAACCTAGAAACATAATTGGGGCGAACCGGGATTCGAAACCACAATCATAGGTTTCTTGCGTGCCCAAGGGACGCGACTCTGCACAGCGAATCGCGGCGCCTTAGACGACTGGGCCACCCGTGTCCCCCTGTTTATTGTAGGTAAAAGATCTCATGAAGCTGAAGGGAACCGAGGCATGTGAGTATACTGTGTGTATAAAAATGTAAAATTTACGAAATTGTGTGTGTGTGCGTGCGTGCGTGCGTGCGTGCGTGCGTGCGTGCGTGTGTGTGTCACTCAGGTGGCCTTTGAAGACAATGCTGTCTAGGCCAGACTAATAATAATGACAATCATACAAGGTCAATAGATCAGTTTGCTTGAATGTCATTCACAGCTCCCCGGGGAGTATACATCCAAAGCTGCCCGTCAGGCGCTTGAAGGTTAACAGTCACTTGACTAATTTCATCCAACGAGACACCTTGCATGCTATGGCGACAAGCAGGAGATATCCTCTACTTATCATTGATTATAAACGTTCAGATTTTGGACTTGAGAACGTAACGACAACCAAGATAACGACGTCGAGTGCCCGTGTTTCATGGAAGCATGCCCCAAGCTGCCATGAGCGGACGGTAATCCTTGTGAGCTTCGAGTCCGAATCAGGACATAAGGAGACGCTGAAAGTTTTCCAGAGCGCAACACATTATGTCCTCCACGGCCTTCAACCTGGTACATCATACAAGGTCAAGGTCACTGCAAAATACGGGGACATGCTCAGTATACCCAAGCAGGTATCCATCACTACCAGTAAGTAGTTTGATTGTATTAGTTTTTTGCAGCGTGGAACACTTAAATACTGTGTTTTGTTGCCTTGCAGCGTGGAATACTTAAATACAGTGTTGTGTTCCTTTGCAGCGTGGAACACTTAAATACAATGTTTTGTTTCTTTGCAGCGTGGAACACTTAAATACAGTGTTTTGGTGTTTTGCAGCTTGGAATACTTAAATACAGTGTTTTGTTTCTTTGCAGTGTGGAACACTTAAATACAATGTTTTGTTTCTTTGCAGCGTGGAACACTTAAATACAGTGTTATGTTTCTTTGCAGTGTCGAACACTTAAATACAGTGTTTTGTTCCTTTGCAGCGTGGAATACTTAAATACAGTGTTTTGTTTCATTGCAGTGTGGAACACTTAAATACAATGTTTTGTTTCTTTGCAGCGTGGAACACTTAAATACAGTGTTTTGTTTCTTTGCAGTGTCGAACACTTAAATACAGTGTTTTGTTCCTTTGCAGCGTGGAACACTTAAATACAGTGTTTTGTTTCTTTGCAGCGTGGAACACTTAAATACAGTGTTTGTTGTTTATACCGCATCAGTCCGGACTAGTACAAGCAGCCACACAAACACACACACGTACATGTACGTCGCTATATAAGTGCAATAATCTTGGACGCGACGTTAAACCAAATTTCACCTCACCTCACCTCTTAAATACAGTGAAACTCCTTTATCGTTGCAATTAAAGCGTTCGGATTACGTGAGTGAGTAACCATACAAAGCGGGGATCCATACAAATAAGATAAATGACAATCATGTCATAAGTGCCTGATCACTTGATTGATACAATCGTCATGAAGGAGGCTATTACACCCACCTGTCTTTGCTATAATAATACTTTATTTTTTTCTTAAACCCAGTGGACGATCCTGGTATCGGAACAGGAGCAATCGCAGGAATTAGTACAGGTGAGGGTTTTTTTGCATGGTCTGCTTGACGCTTGTGACACGTATTTTTGATACGTCAATTTTGGACACGCTCGACTGCCTCTCACCGCTGAGGCACCCAGCATTCATAGTACGAATCGACTGATACGCACCAGAAGGTCACAATGGCTTACGTGGCATATTCTATGTCTGGATAATTGCGATCTTGTATGTTTTTGTAAACAAAATAATTTGTTCGAGATGTTTATGGGGAAAAAATATCCACACAAATATCCTCTTGTCTTTAAAAACATATAAGCCGCCTGATTTGAGGGGTCACTTTTTTTCAATTTATTCCTTTCATTGGCATATCTGTTTACTGTGTGTCTTGTAATTGTAATTGTCTTGAGACACTCGTGGTCATACACACACTGACTATGATTGTTTTCGACAGGGCTGGGGGTTGTAGTCGTCGTGGCCGTGGTCGTTGTTCTGCGGAGGACTGGAGGACATCGTTTTCTGAGTAGTCGACGACAACCAGTCGAAACAGCGAGGATTGCCAATAATCTTGATCCGACCAGACCGAGGATGGCATCCTTTAAGGTAGTCCTTGAGGGCAGGTTATGTAGGTGACACAAACAAACTTTGATTATGTTTCTGTGTTTGTCACCACGATACCCGTAGTCGTTGGTTTCAACAAAGTAGTTAACATTTAATACTTCGAACTTCCTCCCACAAACAGCCTCAATGGCCTTGTGGTAGAGCGTTGACCCCCGGACGCGTCATACCAAAAGACGTTAAAAGATGGAACTTGTTGTTACCCTGTCTGGCGCTCGGCATTAAGGGGCTAAAACAAGCTTAGGGCTGGTCGGCTCGGAGTCACTATGTACTGTGTCTGAGTAGGGTATTCATGATAAACTGCGGCATGGTACCTCAGTGAACTAGCACTATAAATCGGTATCAGTCCTGACCAGTACAAACACACACACACACACACACACACACACACACACACACGTGCATTCACGTCGCTATATAAGTGCAATAATCTTGGACGCGACGTTAAACCCAATACACTTCACCTCACCTCACCTCACCTCACCTCACCTCACCTCACCTCACCTCACCTCATCACACCTCACTTCCTCCCAGAGCAACCTGACACACTGTGTTATAACAGGAAGACTGTTTAACGTACTGCATTCGTTTTAGAACAAGTCTTACGCCGAGGACGATGACATCTACCACTACGCCAGCATGCCGTTTTCGACATTGCAGGCAAAGGAGATCGCTAGTGATAAGCTGACGCTTAAGAAGGAAATACAGGGTGGCAGGTTCGCTCGTATTTACAAGGCTTCTCTGATAAGTGGTAAAACACAGCAAGAGGTGGTCGCTAAAGTTCTTAAAGGTAAGATATGCTTGTCCTAAGAGTCGATTCAGTAGGGATCTGGTGTCAGGATCGTGACTTGTATGATAAGTTTTAAAGTTAAACAATTAAAACGTTATTTAAGATAAATGTTGATGTTATGATCAATGATGTAGCCTCATGTTATTGTTATTTACAGATGATCAATGAAGGACAATACCGTAAAGCTGTTATATTTACAGATATATATAGAAAGAATTTATAGAATTCCAAAGGATGATGCCGAAGGAAAACGAAAATGTGAATATGAAAACAATATGCGTAAATATGAGGCAATGATCGCAAACTTGCGACATATCGCAACACCGATTTGGCTTTCAGGGAGTATTGCATAAGCCACGTCGTAATTGCGGGAAGTTGCAAATGTGTCGTATTGTTGCGACATATACGGGGACTCAAAGTTAACGGCCTTCTTTTCATTCGGTTATTAAACGCACCTGCAATCGAAATAATGTGTAAACATGCGATAATACGATAACACAACACGTTCAACTCATGTCAAAGAAGAGATTGTCTAACTGCTACACAGTGAAATGATTCAGTTTACGACACGTGAAGATCCGGGGTAGAATAGGTCTACAGCAACCTATGCTTGCCGTAAAAGGTGACTATGCTTGTCGTAAGAGGCGACTAACAGGATCGGGTGGTCAGACTCGCTGACTTGGTTGATGCATGTCATCGTATCCTAAATGCCTGGATCGATGCTCATGATGTCAATCGCTGGATTGTGAGGTCCAGAATCGATTATTTACAGACCGCCGTCATATAGCTGGAATAGTGCTGAGTGCGGCGTTAAACAACAAACAAAACTAAAATTATTGTTCACGATTTTATTTCTGACTGCAGCTTGACATAAATATGCTACCCCGGGCTAATGAACAAACATGAGGAAAAGTAAAAGCATTTGGACGCTATGAATATATATGTTCGTATCGACATTTTAGTGGATATATTTTGAGTACTAAAATTAAAACATATCTTCAAGAGAGTTCGCGATTAGAAAATGGTCGATACCTACAGTAGCTCACACAAAAGAAATGAAATTAGAATATCCTGTACGCATGATTTTATTGTGATATCCTTTAAGTTTAATGTATCTCCTGCAGACTGTCACTGTATGGGATCTCACATCTAGCAACAGGGCAATACCAGGATAAGAAATACGTGCATTATATCGATATGGCCTAATGCCAGAAACAGATAGATTGCATCAAACAAAAGGACAAACATCCTTTAGTCGGATGTAAGAAGGAAATCCTCAACAGATAACAATAAAACGCATGCATGTATCCATCCATCTACCCATCCATGATTACATACAATGCATACAATGTTTCGGCGGTGTTTGTCGGGCTCCGTTGTTCGTGTTTTGAAAGCGCAAGTCGAAAACAACACTCGTTTTTGTGGTCAGAAATGATACAGTTAACCTATATTGAATCGTTTTAAGCTCACTGGGTCCGAAGGAATAAGATGAGCTTATGCCATACCGTGGCGTCCGTCTGTCGTCCGTATGTCAACATTTTTTTTTTAGAATGGCCTCTTCTTCTGAACCAATAATTGGAAATTAACGAAATTTGACTGTAATCATCGCTAGGTGGTGAGGATTCAAAATTCTACAAATGGTTGGGCTGACCCCCAAGGGCCCAAATAGGGATAATTGAGCTATATTGCTTTAAACGACTTCTTCTCTGGAACTGCGAGATAGATATCAACCATCTATGGTTGGAACTATTCTCTGGTGGTGAGAATTCAAAATAGTACAAATAGAAGGGCTGATCACCCCAACAAGGGGCTGAGGGGCGGGGCGAAGTAGGGGTAATTTGGCGTTATTGCTTTAAACGACTTCTTCTC